AAAAATTACTTAATAACTATTCGGATAAATAATTTTTTATTAATTAACTAAAGTAACTTAAGTTATAGTTTTATCAATTTAAATTAAAATAGGAAGAGTATCTAAAATACTTGTGTATGGCTTTTTATTTTTATTAGACTAAAAAAAGTTTTAATTAATATTTTTATCTTAATTATTATATTTATTTTCTAATTTCTCATAATTAATTAAAAAAATGTTCTCATATTATTCCCAATCATAGCTTTTAACAAACATTAACCTTAAACTATCTAAATTAATAAAAGCATGTTAAATATCGATTTTTTCTTATTTATTAATATATTTTTAAAAACTATATATATAATATATATACATTATTTATCTATTCTATTTTTTCTTTCTTTTAATTTAATAATAAAGAATCATATTATCTTTTCGAAATTTTTAAATTTTTAAATTAAACCAAAAAAATCTCTGATTTAATCTAATAATTTATTGGAAAATAAATATTAATTCTATTAATAGAAACCGAAATATTCAACTTATTATTCTAATAACTATAATTTTACAAAATTTTATTGAAAATCAATTAGTCTCTATATAAAAAGCAATTTTATTTCTTATCTTATTTCTCAGGATTAAACATAACTAAAGAAATAAGTACTTTGCACCTTTCAATAAATTATTTAGTTAAAATAAAATTTATTTATTAAATTTCCAAATCAATATTATTATTTGTCACATAATTATCTGCACTTTCCCTTATCTTGATTTTATTAATCTATAACTTTGCTCCTTTAGGGATACTAATAAATTTATTATAATTAATATTTTTGCTGTGCTAATCTAACCCAAATAATGATTTAAATTAAAATTTAAACATCATTTCGTTTTAATAACATTCTGACTTTAAACGTAAAGTATTTATATGTAATTTAAATAAATATAAGGTCTATTAATTTTCTTTATTTTCAGTTTTTTTTCTTTCTTATTTTTTATATAAAGTTCACTTAAAAAGTTATTTGTTAAATGATTTAAAACTTTTTTTTTTTTTTTAATAAAAAATTATTTTATTTTTATAAATTTATTACCCTTTTTTTATAAATTTAACTATGTTTTTAATTCTTATTTAAATAAAAATACTTAATTATGTAAATTTTTAACATCTTTTATCATAAAATTTTCATCAACAACAATATTTAAACTCTTCAATTTAAAATCAATTAAAATATTTCGTTCATTTTGTATTTTTAGTAAATTTTTATAATTATAATTTATATTTTTATGTATTTCTTTTCCATCTATATTCTTTATTTTTTTATTTTTTTCAAAAAATTAACAAAAAATATAAATTTTACTTTTATTTTCAAGTTCGGATTTAAACTAGAAAACCAATCATAAGCATTTTATTTTTTTTAATAGCTTTCTTATTATTTTAAGTTTTCATTCATTTCTAAAAGACTTTCTAAAGCAATTTACCTTTACCAAATAATATGACTTAAAGTATATTCGTTTTCATAATAAATTAAATAATTCTATTTTTGTAATATTACTATAAAAATTAAACAAAAATTATTTACATTTTATTTTTTATTTATAAGATATTTATTTATTTATTTCTATATATATATTTATCTATATTTTTGATCCCTTAATTTCTTAATAATATTATGAAATTTAGCTTTTTATTATGTTTTATTTTCGTCAATGACTCTCTTTCCTTTTTTTTTTTTTTTTAAAAAAAAAAAATATAAAAAAATAAAATAAAAAATAAATACCAATATAAATCCACCATTATTTTGCCCCAGAAATATTTATTATATCACCTATTATATTTTTATTTATTTTTTCATATATAATAATTAACTTTTTTTGTTTACTACTTTTTTAAGAAGGTTTTATTAAAGGCCTATCATCTCTTTAATATAAAATACACTAAAGGGCTTTTACTAAAAGTCTAATTTAAGATTATTTAAAATTCATTTCAATTAAATCACTATTAATAATAAATTAGACATTAAATTCATCTTTATATTAAACTTTAAGAGTACTTTAAATATTCACCATTTTCAAAATAAAATTATCTTGACTTACAAATTCATTTTAATAATCTGAGCTTTAATAATTACTACTTAAAATGGTTTCATTTAAAAATTATTCTACTTTTTTATAATTAAAACTATTTGATTATTTTTATGTATTGATTTTCTTATATATAATTATGTTGTATACGTTTTTATATTCGAATTAGCATTATTCATAAAAATCAAAAAACAAAAATAGTTCATTTACATCTATATTTTTCTTTATTATACCAAATGTTGATTATTATTGTTATTATTATTCATATTGCTTATTTATTTCTTTAAAGTTTATTTCCTTAATTTTTAAATGCAATTTTATTATTTCATTGACACTTAATTAATATATATATGTTATTGATAAATCTATTATATTCAAGCTGAATTTTTGCAATGATATTCTTATTGCTTTCGCAATATATCCTTGATTTTCTTCTTTGTTTTAATCCTATTAATTATCATATTTTTTTAATACTTATTCCTTTATTTTCTACATTTATTACTTCATTTATTCATATGACATTTAATTGTAATTTTCTTAATATTTTAAACCTAATTCTAGTCCTTAAATAGTAATTTAAATTCCCTAAATGATTTTTAATTTTTTTTAAATAAATATATGATTGTTTTTTAACATTTTTTTATTTATTTTTATAAATTTCAAACTTCTTTCATTAAATTCTTCCAAGGTATTTTTATTGTCAATTTATTTATTTAACTAGTTAATAATTATAAATTCAAACTATTTATTATTTCTTGGTTTAACTCTAAATTTTATAATTCTAATAACCCTTTAATATTTCAATTATTATATATAATCAACAATTTTATTATAAAGATAAATTATTTTACCATCCCATAAACTAATTTTTAATTATTATGTATCAAATCCTTTAAAATATGGTTGTAGAATCTAAAAGTTCATATTTTAAAAAATAAAAATAATTTATATTAGAAATTAATATAATTTTATATTTAAAAACATTTGATAATATGAATGATAAAGCCCAATTAAGTCCTCCAATTTTAAGCATTTTACTTTAATTATATTTATTATTGTTTTTTAAAAATTTGTTTATTTTAAAATATAAAAAAAACAAATAATAAAATTATATATATATATTAAATCAAATATAAAAAAATTAATAAATTAAAGAAAATTTAGTGCATAAATAATATTTTTAATATCAAAATATTATTATTTTACTATTTTAGCTTTTATCATAATAAATAAAAAAATATAATTAATCCTTTTATATTTTATGTCAACCTTTATATATTAAAAATATAGGAAAAAATTTATGATTTTAACTAATTAAAAATTAGGTCTTTAAAAAAACTTTATATATATATAGAAAATTATTTAAGATTTATAATATATATTAAAATCTTTTGATAGTTATTATTTTAAATAAAAATTGTTTAAAGAAAGTATAACACATTTTTAATAAAATTGAATAAAAGCATTTTGCCCTAAAATTTCAATTACATGATAATAAATTAATTTTTTTTTTTATTTTAAAAAAAAAAATATTTAATTTTAAATATAAATAAATTATAATTTATTAAAATTTTTAAAAAATCGATTTGAAAATATTTTAATTACAAAATATCTTATTTATAATAATATATCAAATCACATATATATATATGTTGTAAAAACTTTATTTGTAAAAGTTCATGTAAACTTTCTTTTCATATATAAAAAAAAATAACATAGAAATGGTTTTAAATTATTATATTATTAAGTTTGGATAATATGATTTATATATACTTAATAAATATCTTTATGGTAAAAGATAAATATAGCATAAAAGATCTATTAAATATGAATTCTAATATTTTGTAAAAAATAAACATAAATAAAAATAAATGTAAATATATTTATTTTTATAATATTTCATAATACATTATTAATAATTTTTTTATAAAATTATAATTAAAATATTAAAATTAAAAAAAAAATTTTAATATTAGCTATAAAATTATAATATATATATATATATAAATATATAAATATATAAAAATATTTATTATATATATTTATAAATATTAAAAATAATAAATACATTTATATATAAATAATATTTATAATTTCTTATTTATTTTTAATATATTTTTCCATTAATTTTATATACAAACAAAAATTTTTATTTTGATATTATTTAAAAAAAAAAATATTAACTATAAACGATTAGAATGATAGGAATAGTTTTAAGGTAGATTATTTGTTTAATATTCAAATTTTTAAATATAAAAAAATTTATATATGAACGAATAGAAAGATTAGAAAAAAAATGAAAAAAAAGTTAAAAATAGATTAAAAATAAATTAATAAAATAAAATTGATATATCTATGTAAAAAAAATGAAAGTAGTAGATAATTTTTATGCTTTAATAATATTTTACAAATGATAATAAATGATTAAAAAGAAAGAAATATTTTAATTTAATTGATTACTTATATTACTTTTAAAAAAAATATGAAATATATATAGATAAATATATATATATTTATGTAATTAAATATATATATATATATATATATATATATATATATTTATATTTATATGTATATGTATATGTATATATCTTTTTATAAAATAATATAAGATAAAAAAAATATTAATTTATAAATAAAACTATTAAAGCCTTTAATATCAAAAATAATTTTATATATTTTTTTTTTTTTCATTTATAATAATTGTCAAATATAAAATTAGATATATATATTATTAACGTCATCAAAATTAAAAAAAATATAATTGTATATCCTTATATATTAAATTTACATAAATAAAAATTAAGATAATTTTTTTATATTTTAATTAAAATAAAAAATAAATCAAAATAAAAATCAAAAAAAAAAAAATAAAAAATAAAAAATATAAATAAAATATAATAATTAATAAAAAATTTAAATAAAATAAAAAAAAAATCATGAAAACACTTTCATAAAAAATCTTCTTCCCCTTTAGTAAATAAAACACTGACCTAAAATTAGTCTTAAAAGACCTAATTCCCTAAAAGCAAGCCGAACTTTAACTAATAAAAGAAAAGTATGGTGATAAAATAGTCGGCGAATACAATGTTAAATAAGTAATTGGTGGTATGAGAGGAATAAAAGGCCTAATGAGTGACCTTTCACGTTGTGACCCTTGGAAAGGTATTATGTTCCGTAACTATTCAATACCTTAATTAAAGGAATTTCTCCCTAAATACGACTCTAAACATCATGAATAAAATAAACTCGAGCCTCTCCCAGAAGGTATTTTTTGGCTCCTTATGACCGGAGAACTCCCTAATTAATAATAAGTAGAAAGTATAAAAAAAGAATGGTAACATAGAGGTGTATTGGATAAATCAGTAGTCGACTATATATTATCTTTACCTTAAGAATTACACTCTATGACTATGCTTTCTATGGCTGTTTTATATTTATAAAAAGACTCAAAATTCGCTCATTTATATGATGAAGGTAGAGCCGTTAAAAAAGAATACTGGATTTATTTCTATGAAGATGCTATGGATTTAATAGCCAAGATTAACAAAATCGCAGCCATTATTTACAGGCACAAATATCATGTAAAAAATAAATATTTACGAAAAAAAATAAAAATAAAAAATAATAGAATTCATAACTTATTGATTCACATTCAACTTTAGATTGGGCAGGAAATTACAGTCATATGTTAGGCTTTGATAACATTGTAGTCCAAGAATGCTTAAGAGGTTATTTATCAGTACATTGTGATCACGAAAGTGGAAATGTATCTGCTCACACTACTCATTTAGTCGGTTCAGCCTTATCTGACCCTTATCTTTCCTATTCTGCTGGTATAAACGGTTTAGCAGGTCCTCTACATGGTTTAGCCAACTAAGAAGTCTTAAAATGGATGCTTGATTTCGTAAAAGAAAAAGGATTTGAAGTATCTGATAAAGATATTGAAGACTACGTAGATTCTGTAATCTAAAGTGGAAAAGTAGTACCTGGTTATGGACATGCCGTTTTGAGAGATACTGACCCCAGATTCCATCATTAATAGGATTTCGCACTTTAATATATGAAAGATGATAAATATATTAAACTTCTGCATTAATGTGCAGAAGTTATCCCAAAAAAACTAAAAAGTTATCACAAAATAGCTAATCCTTATCCAAATGTAGATTGTCATAGTGGAATTACTCTATATGCTTTAGGATTAAAGGAATATTAATATTATACTGTTATTTTTGCAGTTTCTAGAGCCTTAGGATGTATGGCAAATTTAATTTGGTCTAGAGCTTTTGGACTTCCTATTGAAAGACCAGGATCAGTTGATTTATAATGGTTTAAAGATAAGTATGGACATTAATGATGTGTGTTTTTTATAAAAAAAAATATTATTTTATAACTCTAATATAAACAAAAAATTAAAAAATTAAAATGTTTTTAAAAAATTTATAAATATATATATACAATATAAAATATAAAACATAAAATATATATATAAATATATACATTATTTAATATATATTTACTATAATTTAAATTTATTATTTCAAATTATTTATTTTCTTTTTAAATATTCTTTTACAAGACTTTTAAATTCTGTGTCATTAGGTATTCGATAAAATATTGGCTTAGTAATAATTAAAGTAAGATTAATTAAATCTTCTTTCTAAATAAAATAATATATTAAAGAAAAAAAAAAATTATTATAAATTAAATGATTAATAAAAATTGATTACTAATTATTATTATTATATCATGCTTTATCTATACTTATTATACAAATGGTTAAATGTTAATGTATGTTAATCCAAATATTTTTAAATAACATAAGACATCAATTAACTGAAAATTATTTAAATTATATATTACAAATTTAAATATAAAAATTACAAATCAATAACTTAAACTAAAATTTAATGTCTAATAAAAATATAATATATAAATAAATATTTTTTGTATATATATATATATATAAATATAAATATATATATATATATATATATATATATATAAATTTTTTTTATATTTTGTTTACATTTTTTTTTTTTTTTATTATTATCCTTGTTAAAATTCTTCAAAAATTTCTCTTACTAAATCCATATATTTCAATTAAAAAAGTTTCATAATATTATCTTTAAATTTTTTTTTTTTTAATTTTTATCTTGTCCATGTCGATTATATTTTATGTATTTTTCTATTGAATATAATCATCCTTTTTTTTAATTAATAAACATAGATGCTTTAAGGTAAAACTTTTGCTATTATTTTATCTAATTATTCATTTATTTTGTTTTATATTATATTCGTATAATTTTGTAAAATAATCCGGGAATAACTAACTAATCTTTATTATTTTTCTTCACCAAAAGCCTTTACTTTATGATAGCCTTTGCCTAATAAAGCTACTATATAAATCTGTATATAAAAATTTATATTATAATAATTTAATTTCAGTATTTTTTAAAAACCAATAAAAATTAAAAAATTAACAAAATAAATATTATTTAAATAAATAATTTTTTATTTATATGCTTTTGCTAAAAAAATCAAAAGAGAATAAAATAAAATAAATTAATATTAATATTAAAAAAAATTATAAAAATTACATATATATATATATTTAAATTTGTGTTAATATTTTTTTTTATTATTATATATATATATATATTTATATATATTACTCCTCCTTTTGTTTATATATATCTTTTTGCAATCTATCTTTTTAAAAATTTCCTTATAGTATCAAAAAAGTTTATTGTTTAAATTTATTTTATCCAAACTAATTAAAATAATTTTAATTTAGAATATTTATTAATAATTAGAGTAATTTTTTTTTTATATTCTCTCTTTAAATTACTATTTTTTATTTACTATTTTACTTTTTCTTATCTTTCTGTTTCAATCATTTATTTTCTTTGTTTTATTTTTTATAAGTTAATATTATGAATAACCTAAATATAATATATTTAATATATCTCATTTAAAAATAAAAATACTTTTCTTTTCTTTCCTGTGAATATTGAAATTTATCAAAAATGTTAAAAATATTACTTTTATTATAATTTATTTTTTCAGTATTTACATTTTATTTTTTATTATATGAACTTTCATCATAGCTCTATTAAAAGTTATTAACTTTTAAAATTTTGTTCCCCTTATTTTTATATAAAACACTATATCTTTTCGTTTTATTTTATTATTTATTTTTATCTTCATTCCCAAAAAGTACTTTTATATAAATAACTGTTTCATATTCTGAGAAAATCGAAAAATATAAATTGTTTTCATATTAAAATATAGACTTTCCTCCTTATGCATTTATTTTGAAAGATTTTCCCTTTATTTTTGAAAAAAAAAATATAAAAGATATATATATATATATAATGTAAAATAAATTAATAGATGAAACATCAAACTCTTTTTCGGAATTAAATTTATTAGGTCTTTAAGCTGTTAAAGAAATAAATCCTCTAATTAAGCATTATTCATAATTTTATTTTTAATAAATTACTTTATTATTGTTTAAAAGAAAATAAAATATTTTTTTTTTTTTAAAAAAAAAAGAAAAACATAATTTTAAAGGAGAAGGCTTTTATTTTAATTAAATATTAAAATAATAAAAAACTAAAGGTTTCATTCTATATAATTTCTATACATTTTAATCTAATAAATAAGTTTATTCCGTTTCTATATGTTAAATTTTCATTTGTTCTTTTTCAGGATTTTCTTATGTATATTTCTGCCCTTCTTAAAAACTGAAATATTCTAATCTATCAATTTTATCTAATAAAGAATGTTTTCTTTATAGAAAATTTATTTATTCTGTGCAATATTAAGAAATACCATATAAATTGCTTTCAATATTTTATTTTTTTTATTAATATTATAATGTTTTTAAAAATTTTTAATTTGTTGAATTTTATTATGTAGTAATAGAAATTTTTCTTGATTAATTTTCATAATATTAATTTCTTTATTAAAAATTAAACTATGTTTTTTCTGGAAATTAAAGAGTAGTATCAATTGGCATTTATATATTTTTATTTTAAAAGTTATTGTTTATTTAATTTTATAAATACTTTGTATATTAAAAATTGTCTTCTTTTTTTAATAGTTCACTTATTTTTTATTAAAAACTAATCTTTTTTACAGGTTCTAACATTTTAATTTTACTTTTTTTTTTTTTTTTTTTTTTTTTTTTTGAATTTAATATTTTTGTTATTTTTATTTAAAAATTATTTTTAATTAAACGTTTTAAAAAAAATAATATTCGAAGTTTATTTAATAAAAGCAAAAAAAGTCATATAAAACATTATTAATATATAATAATAAACTCATTAAATTAAAACTTTATAGTAATACATATTTTTAAAAGATTTACGGAACAAACTAAATAGAAATTAGTGACAAAAAAATAATTACTTGAAAGGTATTATAAATAAAAACTAATATCTGCAATAAACATTTTTAGAATGAAATAAAAGAAAAAATTCAACGGCAAAATTATAAATAATCCTATGATAAAATTTTCAGATTAAAAATCATATTTATAAAAATGAATGCTTTATATTAAATATAAACAAAAAAAAATCCTTGAGTATTTATATTCTAAAAAGTATATATTTATATAATTTAATATTTTTTTTAAAAGTATTTTTTATTATTGAATAAAAAGATCAATAAATAATCAAATTTTAAAATTAGAAAACAAATAAAAATAAGTAAAAGGTTTTTAATTAATTAAATTAGAATAAATAATTTGCAATTAATAATAATTCTAATAAACAGGCTATTATTTTATATATATATAAATAAAATAATTATAAATTTTGTATTATTAAAGATATATATTGTTAAAATAATTAAAATAAAAAGCTTTAAAATAATTATTAACGATTATTTACTTAAATTATATTCAATAGTGATAAAAAATATTATATTTATTTATAAAAAGTTAATTATATAAATATAATTTAAGAAATTTTATTCTTTCATAAAATATATAAAATATAAAATTATTAAATTAATTAAAATATTTTGTATATGTAAACTTCAAAAAAATATAAAATATATAAAAAAAAAAATTAATAAAATAAAAATTAATAAAATAAATAAAAATCTAAATATATATATATATATATATATATATATATATATATATATAATAA